GTAGTGTAGTGTAATGGTAGCGTAGTGTATATTAGTGTAGTGTATTGTAGTGTATAGTAGTGTAGTGTATGGTAGTGTAGTGTATAGTAGTGTATAGTAGTGTAGTGCATAGAGTAGTGTATAGTAGTGTAGTGTATAGTAGTGTATAGTGTAGTGTATAGTAGTGTAGTGTATAGTAGTGTAGTGTAATGGTAGCGTAGTGTATATTAGTGTAGTGTATTGTAGTGTAGTGTATAGTAGTGTAGTGTATAGTAGTGTAGTGTATAGTAGTGTAGTGTATAGTAGTGTAGTGTATAGTGTAGTGTATAGTAGTGTAGTGTATAGTAGTGTAGTGTATAGTGTAGTGTATAGTAGTGTAGTGTATAGTAGTGTAGTGCATAGTGGTGTCGTGTATAGTAGTGTAAGGTAGTGTAGTGTATAGTAGTGTAGTGTATAGTAGTGTATAGTAGTGTAGTGTATAGTAGTGTAGTGTATAGTAGTGTAGTGTATAGTAGTGTAGTGTATAGTAGTGTAGTGTATAGTGGTGTCGTGTATAGTAGTGTATAGTAGTGTAGTGTATAGTAGTGTAGCGTAAAGTAGTGTAGTGTATAGTAGTGTAGTGTATAGCAGTGTCATGTATAGTAGTGTAGTGTATAGTAGTGTAGTGTATAGTAGTGTAGTGTATAGTAGTGTAGTGTATAGTAGTGTATAGTAGTGTAGTGTATAGTAGTGTAGTGTATAGTAGTGTATAGTAGTGTAGTGTATAGTAGTGTATCGTAGTGTATAGTAGCGTAGTGTATATTAGTGTAGTGTATAGTAGTGTAGTGTATAGTAGTGTAGTGTATAGTAGTGTAGTGTATAGTAGTGTAGTGTATAGTAGTGTAGTGTATAGTGTAGTGTATAGTAGTGTAGTGTATAGTAGTGTAGTGTATAGTGTAGTGTATAGTAGTGTAGTGTATAGTAGTGTAGTGTATAGTAGTGTAGTGCATAGTGGTGTCGTGTATAGTAGTGTAAGGTAGTGTAGTGTATAGTAGTGTAGTGTATAGTAGTGTATAGTAGTGTAGTGTATAGTAGTGTAGTGTATAGTAGTGTAGTGTATAGTAGTGTAGTGTATAGTAGTGTAGTGTATAGTGGTGTCGTGTATAGTAGTGTATAGTAGTGTAGTGTATAGTAGTGTAGTGTAAAGTAGTGTAGTGTAGTGTATAGCAGTGTCATGTATAGTAGTGTAGTGTATAGTAGTGTAGTGTATAGTAGTGTAGTGTATAGTAGTGTAGTGTATAGTAGTGTATAGTAGTGTAGTGTATAGTATAGTAGCGTAGTGTATAGTAGTGTATAGTAGTGTATAGTAGTGTAGTGTATAGTAGTGTAGTGTATAGTAGTGTAGTGTATAGTAGTGTATAGTAGTGTAGTGTATAGTAGTGTAGTGTATAGTAGTGTATAGTAGTGTATAGTAGTGTAGTGTATAGTAGTGTATTGTAGTGTATAGTAGTGTAGTGTATAGTAGTGTATAGTAGTGTAGTGTACAGTAGTGTATAGTAGTGTAGTGTATAGTAGTGTAGTGTATAGTAGTGTAGTGTATAGTAGTGTAGTGTATAGTAGTGTAGTGTATAGTAGTGTAGTGTATAGCAGTGTCGTGTATAGTAGTGTATAGTAGTGTATAGTAGTGTAGTGTATAGTAGTGTATAGTAGTGTAGTGTATAGTAGTGTAGTGTACAGTAGTGTATAGTAGTGTATAGTAGTGTAGTGTATAGTAGTGTAGTGTATAGTAGTGTAGTGTATAGTAGTGTAGTGTATAGTATAGTAGTGTAATGTATAGTAGTGTAGTGTATAGTAGTGTAGTGTATAGTAGTGTAGTGTATAGTATTGTAGTGTATAGTAGTATAGTGTATAGTAGTGTAGTGTATAGTAGTGTATAGTAGTGTAGTGTCTAGTAGTGTAGTGTATAGTAGTGTAGTGTATAGCAGTGTCATGTATAGTAGTGTAGTGTATAGTAGTGTAGTGTATAGTAGTGTAGTGTATAGTAGTGTAGTGTATAGTAGTGTATAGTAGTGTAGTGTATAGTATAGTAGCGTAGTGTATAGTAGTGTATAGTAGTGTAGTGTATAGTAGTGTAGTGTATAGTAGTGTAGTGTATAGTAGTGTATAGTAGTGTAGTGTATAGTAGTGTATAGTAGTGTAGTGTATAGTAGTGTAGTGTATAGCAGTGTATAGTAGTGTATAGTAGTGTAGTGTATAGTAGTGTATTGTAGTGTATAGTAGTGTAGTGTATAGTAGTGTAGTGTATAGTAGTGTATAGTAGTGTAGTGTATAGTAGTGTAGTGTACAGTAGTGTATAGTAGTGTATAGTAGTGTAGTGTATAGTAGTGTAGTGTATAGTAGTGTAGTGTATAGTAGTGTAGTGTATAGTAGTGTAGTGTATAGTAGTGTAGTGTATAGTAGTGTAGTGTATAGTAGTGTATAGTAGTGTAGTGTATAGCAGTGTCGTGTATAGTAGTGTAGTGTATAGTAGTGTAGTGTATAGTAGTGTAGTGTATAGTAGTGTAGTGTATAGTAGTGTAGTGTACAGTAGTGTATAGTAGTGTATAGTAGTGTAGTGTATAGTAGTGTAGTGTATAGTAGTGTAGTGTATAGTATAGTAGTGTAGTGTATAGTAGTTTAGTGTATAGTAGTGTAGTGTATAGTATTGTAGTGTATAGTAGTGTAGTGTATAGTAGTGTAGTGTATAGTAGTGTATAGTAGTGTAGTGTCTAGTAGTGTAGTGTATAGTAGTGTAGCGTATAGTAGTTTAGTGTATAGTATAGTAGTGTAGTGTATAGTAGTGTAGTGTATAGTAGTGTAGTGTATAGTAGTGTATAGTAGTGTAGTGTATAGTAGTGTAGTGTATAGTAGTGTAGTGTATAGTAGTGTAGTGAATAGTAGTGTAGTGTATAGTAGTGTAGTGTATAGTAGTGTAGTGTATAGTAGTGTAGTGTATAGTAGTGTAGTGTATAGTAGTGTAGTGTATAGTAGTGTAGTGTATAGTAGTGTAGTGTATAGTAGTGTAGTGTACAGTAGTGTAGTGTATTGTAGTGTAGTGTATAGTAGTGTAGTGTATAGTAGTGTAGTGTATAGTGGTGTAGTGTATAGTGTATAGTAGTGTAGTGTATAGTAGTGTAGTGTATAGTAGTGTATAGTAGTGTAGTGTATAGTAGTGTAGTGTATAGTAGTGTAGTGTATAGTAGTGTAGTGTATAGTAGTGTAGTGTATAGCAGCGTCGTGTATAGTAGTGTATAGTAGTGTAGTGTATAGTAGTGTAGTGTATAGTAGTGTATAGTATAGTAGTGTAGTGTATAGTAGTGTATTGTAGTGTATGGTAGTGTAGTGTATAGTAGTGTAGTGTATAGTAGTGTAGTGTATAGTAGTGTATAGTATAGTAGTGTATAGTAGTGTATTGTAGTGTATGGTAGTGTAGTGTATAGTAGTGTAGTGTATAGTAGTGTAGTGTATAGTAGTGTATAGTAGTGTAGTGTATAGCAGTGTCGTGTATAGTGGAGTGTAGTGTATAGCAGTGTATAGTAGTGTAGTGTATAGTGTAGTGTATAGTAGTGTATAGTGTAGTGTATAGTAGTGTATAGTAGTGTAGTGTATAGTAGTGTATAGTAGTGTAGTGTATAGTAGTGTAGTGTATAGTAGTGTATGGTAGTGTATGGTAGTGTAGTGTATAGTAGTGTAGTGTATAGTAGTGTAGTGTATAGTAGTGTAGTGTATAGTGTAGTGTATAGTAGTGTATAGTAGTGTATAGTAGTGTAGTGTATAGTGTAGTGTATAGTAGTGTAGTGTATAGTAGTGTATAGTAGTGTAGTGTATAGTAGTGTAGTGTATAGTAGTGTATAGTAGTGTAGTGTATAGTAGTGTATAGTAGTGTAGTGTATAGTAGTGTAGTGTATAGTAGTGTATGGTAGTGTATGGTAGTGTAGTGTATAGTAGTGTAGTGTATAGTAGTGTAGTGTATAGTAGTGTAGTGTAAAGTGTAGTGTATAGTAGTGTATAGTAGTGTAGTGTATAGTGTAGTGTATAGTAGTGTAGTGTATAGTAGTGTATTGTAGTGTATGGTAGTGTAGTGTATAGTAGTGTAGTGTATAGTGTAGTGTATAGTGTAGTGTATAGTGTAGTGTATAGTGTAGTGTATAGTGTAGTGTATAGTGTAGTGTATAGTGTAGTGTATAGTGTAGTGTATAGTGTAGTGTATAGTAGTGTCGTGTATGGCGGTGTTTGGCCCCCGGAGCGGAATTGTTTCTCAGAGTGAAACTTCCATCGCGCACCCCCCCCCACCCCACCAACTCTGTGGTTGAGCAAGCAAAGTTGCGACAATTGGGGGTTGGTCAACACGGAGACTAACTGTCCACCAATATCGATCTCCCCTTCTCCGGGATAACGACACACAAAGACAAAGATCCCTCGTGGAGCCTGTAACAGATTGTTGCGCGGGCAAGTGCTCACTCACTCACCCACCCACTCATTCACTCACCCACTCATTCTACACTCATTCACTCACCCACTCAGCCATTCACCCAATCACCCACCCACAAACTAACTCACCCACTCACTCACCCACACTAATTCACCTACCTACTCACTCATTCACTCACTCACCCACATTAATTCACTCACTCACTAATTCAGCCATTCACCCACTCTCATTCACTCACTCACTCACCCACCCACCAACTAACTCACCCACCCACTCACCCACACTCATTCACCTACCCACTCACTCACACTCATTCACTCACTCACTCACACTCATTCACTCACTCACCCACACTAATTCACTCACTCACACTCATTCACTCACTCACCCACACTAATTCACTCACTCACTCACACTCATTCACTCACCCACACTCGTTCACTCACTCAATCACACTCATAAAGACTCGCTCATTCGCCCACACTCACTCACACTCGTCCACACTCACCCACCCATACACACCTAAACTCACCCACCCACTCGCGCACACTCACTCACTCACTTGGCCAACCTGATTGTGAAATTTGTAGTCGGTGTCTCTGCGTCTACATCAGCAGCACCTAGGACAAGACGAAGAAGAAGACCAACTTAGTCTCACTCACTCATTCACTCATTCACTCACTAACAATAATTCACTCACACGCATTCACTCACTCACACTCATTCACTCGCTCACACGCATTCACTCACTCGAACTCAAACACTCACCCTGTGACACCCATTCACTCACCCACTCACCTAACAACCACCGCCATTCGCCAATAAGTGGTGGTGACGTCACCACGACGCTTGTGCCAGGCCATGTGCACCTTGAGGTCACGTGAAGTGTCGAACGCCCGCTGGCAGGAGGTCACGGGGCAGACCCAGGTGCTACAGGTCGACTGACTGAGACGACTGGCTGACACACCACCTGTGCCCCCTATTGTACTAACTTGCTGTGCTTTAGCCACCCGGAGCTCCGCTCGTTGTTGTGAGCATCGCTCCTCCGCCCTCCGTTGTTGTTGAAGGGCGACTGCCTCCAACTGCCCAGTAGTAGCGTCCTTCACGAGCCTCCTCCACAGAGGCCGATCTTGACACCGCTGGTACCAGTCATCGGCAAGTCCACTCAGCTCCACGTCCTCCTGTACCTCATTACTCCATCTCTCATCTAGCCTGTGCCGCGCCCGTTAAGCCTGCTCGATCCGGCCAAACAAAAGCTGTTACGGCATGCGGTGGCTGGGCATGCGGGCTACATGGCCAAGCCAACGCAGCCTTGCCTGCTGGAGGAGCTCACCGATTGAACTTTGTCCAGATCTTTCAAGGATCTGTGAGCTCCTCACACAATCCAGCCTGTTTAAACCAAAGATGGATCGTAGGGAGGCCAGCCTAAATGTTTCTAACCGGCGAAGATTTTCCATTAGGGGGGGGTCCACGTTTCGCAAGCGCAGAGAAGGGAGGGAATGACCGTGGCCGAGAAGAACTGAAGCTTCGTGCGGAGCGACATACAAGGTAGCTTCCACACAGCGTTATGCAACCGATGTAAAGATAATGCTGCTCGACTCAGTCGGAGTGAGACCTCTGCTGTTAAACTGGAGCCAGTCATGAGCACACTGCCCAGGTATGGGAAACTCTCCACTCTCTCCACAACTGCCCCATCACCAATTGGGAGTTGTGGGGGTGGAGTGTCCGATGGTACAAAATACCCAGGCAGGTGCTTAGTTTTGGTGGGGCTGATGGTAACACCCCACCTCTTAGTGGCACGCTCCAGTCTCAGCAGCAGCGTCTCCAACTCCTCTGAGTGAGCAGCAATTACCAAATAATCGGCATACATAACGTGGTTGACCAATAGGGAGCCATCCCTTGACCACAGCCGGGCATCGATCAGCCTGCCATTGTATCTGTTACAGATGGAAATTCCTCCAGCACAGCCATGGAAGGCTTCACGAACTACGTGGTCAAAATAGATGTTAAATAATGTGGGATCCAGAGGACATCCCAGTCGTACCCTAAGGTGAACAGGGAATGGCTCCGACTCCTGGCCACGTAGTGTTACCCGGGCCCGCTCATCATCATGAAGGTCCTTAATGATCGTGAGCAGAGGGTCAGGGACTCCAAAAGCACGAAGAATAACCCAGAGCCCAGGCCTCCTGACCAGGTCAACGAAGCAGAGATGTAGGTTTTTTTGGAAATTCCCTACACCTCTGCTGTAGCAGACGGACTGAAAATATGTCATCTCTACAGGACCGCCATTTCCTGAAATCGCATTAGGGCTTAGCAAGCCTCTCCTCAGAGTGCTTGGCATGGCGATGTTGATTAATAGTTGCTAGGACCTTTCCCTGCACACTGAGGAGTGAGATGCCCCTGTAGTTGTTACAGTGTGTGCGGTCCCCCTTCTTAAAGATGGGGACCACCAGGGCATCCTTCCAATCCTGCAGAACCCGTCCAGTGGTCCAGACTGTTAATATAATGTCATGTAGGGCAGTCTGTGCACAAACGCCACCCTCCCTTAGCATTTCGCTTGGGAGATCATCTCTGCCCGGTGCCTTTCCTGGTCTCAGACTCCGGATCGCCTACAGTACTTCCCCAACGGATGGCACCTCAGCCAGCCACTCACAGGGGTGACTTCCTCCTTCAATATTTGAGGCACCACAGCCTCAGCAGGGTCCTTCCCACTTTGTCCCATGATGTTCTCCAGGCTGAGGAATTTCCCCTCACCCAGGACCTCACAGAAATGCTCAGCAAATCTGCAAACTTTTCCCTGGGTGTCAGATATTGTATTACCATTCTTTGCCTAAATAATGTCAATAGGTATGGCGCTGCAGGTTACTTTCTTGATGGAGTTACATAGGGATTTGTGATCGCGTGCCACTGAGGCAGACTCCATCTCCTCAGCAACCTGCGACCACCACCCATCCTTGCAGCGCCTCACGGCTCTCCGAACCTCCGAGCGATGGCTGCGGTAAGCCTCCTCATTCTCCGACGTGGGATGCTGTAGATGATGAGAGTGGGCCTGTCGCTTTTTCTCAGCCAGCTTGAACACCTCCTCCGTCAGCCAGGGTCTCTGGGGAGGTCTGGACCGTGTACCCAAAGCAGCCATTGCAGCTGCATTATCCACAGTCCTAAACCTCGCCCATTTCCCCTCGACATCTGGAGGAGTGGGGAACGATTCCAACCCCTGCAGCAAGCGACGATGAAATTATCGCCTTGAAACTTTCATCAGATAGCTGAGAATAGGCCACTATGGGTTTGAATGGGGTCCTGGGTGTTCACCCACCACTGGAGTGGAAAAATTGCAGGCGCATCTTGCAGATGACAAGTCGATGGTCAGTGAGCAGATCAGCTCCACGGTAGGTCCTGGTGTCAAGGACATGGGCTCGCATCCGCTGTTCCATCAGTATGTAGTCCAACAGATGTTCTTGCTTGGATCCGGCATGCATATATGATGTTGTGTGGATGCGCCGATGTCGGAACAGCGTGTTGGTAATTACAAGCCCATGGGCTGCACAAAAATCAAGAAGCCTCCTGCCGTTGTTAGTGAGCTGATCTGGCCCATGCCTTCCAATCACTCCAGACCAGGAGCGAGCATTATGACCAACTCGGGCATTGAAGTCGCCCAACAAGATGACTGTAACACGAGGGGCCACTTTAGCTAACACCTGTGACAGGAGGTCATAGAAGGCATCTGACTCATCGGCTTTGCCTGCATCCCTCCACGAATGTTCGTCTTAGGTGGGGGCATAAGTAACTACGACCACCACTCCTCGCCTCCGGTTGATGGGACGGCGGGCCCACAGTAGCCTGGGGCTTACAGCTTTTCACACCTCACCGCCACGCTTCCACGCCCCCTTGGCCTCCGGCACAAGCTTATTAATACAAAATTTGATCGTGTTTTTAATCACACCCACACCCACCTACACTCACCCACACTCACTCACACTCACCCACTCTCACCCACTCTCACCCACACCCACCCACACCCACTCACACTAACCCTACACTCACCCACTCACACTCACCCAGACTCACCCACAATCATTGACTTATTCACCGACACTCAACCACCCACACTCACCCACTCACACGCACCCAGACTCACCCACACTCACCCACTCACACTCACCCCGACCCACCCACACTCACCCACTCACACGCACCCAGACTCACCCACACTCACCCACTCACACTCACCCACTCACACTCACCCCGACCCACCCACACTCACCCACACTCACCCACTCACACTCACCCACTCACACTCACCCCGACCCACCCACACTCACCCACTCACACTCACTCACACTCACCCACCCACACCCACTCACACTCACCCACACTCACGCTCACCCACACCCACCCAGACTCACCCACTCACACTCACCCAGACTCACCCACACTCACCCACTCACACTCACTGACACTCACCCACCCACACCCACTCACACTCACTCACGCTCACCCACACCCACCCAGACTCACCCACACTCATTCACTTACTCAGCTAAACTCACTCACCCACACTCACCCACCCACACTCACTCACACTCACCCACCCACACCCACACTCACCCACACCCACCAAGATTCATCCACATTCATTCACTTACTCAGCTAAACTCACTCACCCACACTCACCCACTCACCTACTCACACCCACCCACACTCACCCACACTCACCCACACTCACCCACTCACTTGACCAACCTGAACGTGACATTTGTAGTCGGTGTCTCTGCGTCTACATCAGCAGCCGCGTGTGACACAAAGCAAAGAGAGAGCGAGAAATAAATATACGGCGATAAAGACCCCAGATCTATCTAATGGATATATAAATATTTCTGATCCTTATGGTCAACAATAAAAACAAATAAGTGGTTGATTGAGCCGGATGCGATGGCAAGAGACTTGTTGGCATTACACGAAATAATTCCTCGTTAGTCGGTATGTGAGCTCGCTGCTGATGAATCATATCTGTCATCAAACCGAATCGTCAAGTTGCAGCTTGTTCGAACCGGGAGTCGTAAGATTTCCCGTTCTCAATAGTGACAACACACAGACACACACAGGACCACCATCAACACTACCACCACCATCACTATCAACACCATCACCATCAACACTACCACCATCAACACTACCACCACCATCACCATCAACACTACCACACCATCACCATCAACACTACCACCATGACCACCACCATCAACACTACCACCACCATCAACACTACCACCACCATCACCATCAACACTACCACCACCACCATCAACACTACCACCACCATCACCATCAACACTACCACCATGACCACCACCATCAACACCACCATCAACACTACCACCACCATCACCATCAACACTACCACCACCATCACCATCAACACTACCACCATGACCACCACCATCAACACTACCAACACCATCAACACTACCACCACCATCACCATCAACACTACCACCACCATCAACACTACCACCACCATCATCTACACCATCGCCATCAACACTACCACCATCAACACTACCACCACCATCAACACGACCACCACCATCACCATCAACACTACCACCATCACCACTACCACCACTAACACAGCTACTAACATCTCGCATAGATCTCCGGGTCTCAATAGTGACAGCACTACGCCCGGCCGCCTTAGTCTCCCGAGTGGCGATGAGTACGCACCGTAGCAGGTAACTCATTTGAGGCTGAGTCGACCTAGAGGAGGCCCAGGACCGGTTCAGATAATTGTCACCGGTGTTGGCCGTGAGTGGGAATCAAACTCTGGCCGGCGGGTT